CATATCCTGTCTTCTTTCCTCTACATCTGTTCAAAGTGCTGTGTTTATTAAGCTTGTTGAGAGTTCGGAAAAAAGGAAGTGGAGAGCTGAAATGACACTCTGCAGAGCTGATTGGAGGGAAGGAACACACCTCCCTCCACACAGCTCACAAGAACAGATATGAGGCTGTCAAGCTTCTGGAGATCCCTGCCCTGAAGTGATTCATGCTGATAGCAGAGGAATGCAGCAGCAGACAGAAATGGCACTTAGTGCTCTTATAGTGCACACTATAGAGGGATATGCTTTGTTCTTATTTCATGTCTGAGGTTTACAGCCACTCTGGATACATAATCTTATGGTATGCTCCAATATGGAGATGGTGGGTCAGAATATGGTGCACCCACAGCGAATTCATTCACTCTAGTGTCAGCTATTTGGTGGCAATGATATATTGGTGCCAGGAATGATATACCCATACATATACAACCCCCTTATTGTTCTCAGATCATCACATGAAGTACTTGAGACCTCACATCCTTCCAATGAGATAGTTGTACCTATTAAAGTGGCTGCAGGGTATATACATTTCCATTAGTCAGACAGTCTATATCAGGGGTGGGCAAACTTTTTGACTTGAGGGCCGCAATGGGTTCATATATTGGACCCGGGGGCCGGACCAAGAGTAGATGAATGATGTGTATGTGTCATCCATAGTAAGTATAGTAATATTCCCCCATAGTAAGCATAGTAATTCATCCCCCATATAGTAATTCATCCCCCATAGTAATTCATCCCCCATAGTAATTCATCCCCCATATAGTAATTCATCCCCCATAGTAATTCATCCCCCCTATAGTAATTCATCCCCCCTATAGTAATTCATCCCCCATATAGTAATTCATCCCCCATATAGTAATTCAACCCCCATAGTAATTCATCCCCCATATAGTAATTCATCCCCCATAGTAATTCATCCCCCATAGTAATTCATCCCCCATACAGTAATTCATCCCCCATATAGTAATTCATCCCTCATATAGTAATTTATCCCCCATAGTAATTCATCCCCCATATAGTAATTCATCCCCCATAGTAATTCATCCCCCATATAGTAATTCATCCCTCATATAGTAATTCATCCCCCATAGTAATTCATCCCCCCTATAGTAATTCATCCCCCCTATAGTAATTCATCCCCCCATATAGTAATTCATCCCACCATGTAGTAATTCATCCCCCATATAGTAATTCATCCCCCATATAGTAATTCATCCCCCATAGTAATTCATCCCCCATATAGTAATTCATCCCCCATATAGTAATTCATCCCCCATATAGTAATTCATCCCCCATATAGTAATTCATCCCCCATAGTAATTCATCCCCCATATAGTAATTCATCCCCCCTATAGTAATTCATTCCCCATATTAATTCATCCCCCATATTAAGTCCCCAAGTCCCCCCTGTGTCAATTCACTTACCTTTGCTCCGCGCGTTCCTCTCGCCGTGTCCCGCACCGTTCCGGTGTAGCATGAAAATCTGTCTCCTATGAGGATCTGTCCCCCTCGACGTATCTGCGCAAGTGCCAGTTTCAGGCATTAGCAGCCGATCGGCGATCTCCGGCACATGCGCAGATACGTCGAGGGGGACAGATCCTCATAGGAGACAGATTTTCATGCTACACTGGTCTTCAGGGCGGACTGTGAGAGGAGCCTAGCTCCACGGGCCGGATTAAAAGGTCCGCCGGGCCGTATACGGCCCGCGGGCCGTAGTTTGCCCATTGCTGGTCTATACAGTGTAGTATCTCCCAAAAGAATCTGACATGGCATTAGTACACAATTAAAGTGCAACTACACCAACAACAGTAAAACCAGTCTGTATATGCAGTAATGTATGCATGTTATACTCACTGCAGAACCTAAGGGGTTAATATTCCACAGTGTTTAAAAAGAATGTTTGATCCTGTCTTCTCTGATTCTCCCCTTCTTCCACAGTCCCAATCCATCTGCTGATAGAACAGAGCCTTGGGGGCAAGCTGCACATGCTCAGTTTGGTGTGAATTGATAGGGAGTTTCTTTTCCTTGGGAGAGTGCATCAGCACAGGACCAATGAACACTGTTCAGACAGAGGGTCAGGGGTCCGGCAGACTCATAGGGGAGAATGAAAACTATAAGCTTTAACCAGTGCTCTGCTGGACACTAATAGAAGTCACAAGACTGCTCTAACTGCTTATGAGAAAAGGGATTTAGCTGTTTATATTTAGTAAAATAATTTCCATGTTCCGTGTACTGTGGGGGGCCAGATATAGTGAATGCAGGGTCCTGGGTTTAGTAACACTTTAACTGCAGTAATACAAAACAAAATTCTTGTTGGTCAAAGAGAAGCAACCATATAGTACTGAGGACATGTAGCAGAGGTGACTGACCCTGATAGAACAAGAACTGTCTGTAGATGCGGGAGTGAAGAGAAACTGCACAAATATATATTTTCTTACTTTTTTTCATTCTGTGTTTATTGAGATGATGGCTAAATGCTGTACACTTTTACAGCCAAAATTATTTAAAGGCATCCAAAATACAAAATTGTGTTGGCTATAACAACAATCCTCCACCATTCATTTTTTAAGAGAGAGGACGTGATGAGGTATATTTATTATCATTGTTGGAAGAGGAATTCTATGCTGCCCCTAAACACTGGGGCCATATAATTTGCCCAGTTTGTCCACACAGCCCTTTCAATAATGTTTAATTTACTTTTGCTTCTCTGTCCAATTCCAGCTGGAAAAGAGAGGTACTCCACCTGGCTGTGTATATCTAATATTGCTGCTGATTTGAGGGGCTTGAGCGCGCACGTTAATCTAGTCTACAGAACAAAGAATACGAGCACTTTGGGGACAAAAAGCCTTGTTTTCTCAGTAATCAGAGGTGATGACGATCTATATATTCCTCAGGCTCATATAGTAAATTTTCTTTTATATGTGGAATCTTCAGGGAAGCCGATATTGCTCATGGAAGATGCTTCGCTTTGTAATATTCAGCAGCGCTCAGTCTGTGCGGAGACATAAAGCATCACGCAGAAATTCTCATTAAAATCCTATTCCGCCCAAATACTCACCAGAGATTTCCCATCCCACAAACTAATACATAAAGAATGCAATAAGCGCTTCCCCCTTAGCCACCAGATGAAACGCAGCATGCTACCCACTGCAAGGATGGTGATTTTATTGGGCCGTGTAATTTTGTCTGACAGGCTTTGGTTAAGGCATATACAGTATGTGCATTCAGGTAGGAGAGGACTTTTGTCATCCTTATCCCCCAGAATTCCTGTGATGCACAGAGTGTTTTACACTAACTTCAGCGAGAATTCTTCTCTTTGGGAAAGTTGTTCTTATATTTGCAAAATCACTTCAATTAATAGAATTTTAGCAGCGCGTTGTGATGTTTTATAAATGTTATTTATGGTACATATGTAATTCCAGGTATGTGGGGTGTCAGTCATTTCCTTATACATATGCAGATTCTGCTTCTTTATTACTAGTATTAAACAGTGACTGTGCTTTACTGCCCTTCTCTCACTGGAAATCTAGAAACAATGCTTTGTCAGCAGCTTGTAGACGATACTTCCCTCAAGGTGTTTTACTTGTAATTCATGGTCCTAAAAATAGAAATTATAAGGCCTCATACACTCCAGTGTTTATTACCGTAAACCTCATTATGGGTAACATCCCCAGCACTTTCCTCTACCAAGGGAGCTGCTGGTGCCGCATACAGCCACCAATGCAAATAAATAGCTGTATGCTGCCGTACTTGTCTACATGCCGATCACTTTTCCAGCAGTGTTTACCTGCACATGCATGTATGGCATATTTCACCAAACATGAAAGTGGTACATTTAAGGGAATATATTGATTGTAAATGCATTGGTAAACACTGGTGCAGAAGGGATCAACCTATACACGAGTATGGCCATGTACAGCCTTTCACTTACTTGTGTATTGGCAGCTATATGCAGCACTTTTGACTCCCTGTGTGCCAGAAAGCACTGGGGACTTTACGCTTGAAGAGTTTTAAGCTAATAATTTTCAATATGAATGAATAAGGCCTATATATAAAATAAAAGTTTAAAACCTGGAAGTCACATTGTTGATAACTTCCAGGTACATGCTGTTAGAAGTGATTGAATAGACAAAAAAAAATATCTTTGGCCGGGTATTCCTATAATCAGTTTTCACATTGTGATCCCCTGTAATTTTTAATTAACTTCTTTTAAATGCCTCCACCTCAATGCTTCACCTTCCTCTGCACCTCCAATGTAAGTGTTTGTCTGTGTCCTCTTAGAGCACACAGGAGAAAAAAGGTGTACACCCCTGCAGCCTGATATGAGTCCCAGCCCCTGAACTTCTTCTATCCCACACCCTCTGCTCTAGACATAACCATTACCCAAATCCTTTAACCCCTGCTCTACACCTAATCCCCCCACCTCAACTCCTATAACCATGCCTAAGAACTTGCCAGAGTTAAGCCAGCAATGCCATAACCTTGATTTGATTGCCAATTTATTGACTAAATCAGTGAAATCTCCAGAACGATTGGCCTTTTGGGAAATGTTTATAAGATACATGCAATGGTGCACGGTCATGCAACACTGTACCCATACAAAATGTTATCATTTTTATTAGACAGATAGAACTTTCTTTTGGTGGTATTTATCACCTCTGGGGTTTTTTTTTTGCTAAACAAACCAAAAACAACTGAAAATATGGGGGGGGAGGGAGTTTTTTCTTAGTTTTTATTTAAAATTTTTTTAAAATAAGTGATTTTTTTCCTTCACTGATGTGTGCTGATGAGGCTGCAGTGATGGGCACTGATAGGCTGCACTGATAGGCACTGATAGGTGTCACTGATGGGCACTGATGAGGAGACACTGGTAGGTGGCACTGATGGGCATTGACAGGCATCACTGATGGGCACTGAAAGGCAGCACTCATATTGGCACTGATAGGCAGCACTGATAGGTGGCACTGATAGGCGGCACTGACTGGCACTATTAGGTGGCACTGACTGGCACTGTTAGGCGGCACTGATGGGCAATGATAGGCAGCACTGATGTGCACTAATAGGCAGCACTGATAGGTGGCACTAACTGGCATTGATAGGTGGCACTGACAGGTGACACTGAAAGGCAGCTCAGATGGCCACTGATATGTGGCATTGATGTGCACTGGTAGGCACTGAAATGTGGCATTGATGAGGCACCGATGGGCACTGGCAGGTGGCATTGATGAGCACAGACCGCTGGCATTGATGGACACTGACAGGTTGCACTGCTGGGGCTACACTGATCATCAGGGCACACTGATCATCAGTGCCCTGATAATCAGTGCAGGTGTCCCCTCTGAGGAATGCTGATTACCGGCTCTCCTCTCCTCACGAGCTGTCAGCGTGACAGCTCGTGAGGAGAGAAATGCTGATAACAGGCATTTCCCTATTTACATGTGATCAGCTGTGATTGGACACAGCTGATCACATGACCGAGCCGACATCTTCGGCTCTTTCTGTTGATCAGTGATCCGCTATGTCCAAGGGACACGGCGCACCACCGATCGCCGTGCTGCGTGCTCCTGGAGCCACTCACGCGCGGTTAGAGTGAGAGGCCGTCATATGACGTCCTCCCAGAACGAGAGAACCGCCTTGCGCCCATCATTTCCTTATATGAGGCGGTTAAAGAATATGTGAACCCAACATTTCTTATTTCTCATATGTGTCTGCTGTACTAAAAAAAAGTATCCTGTTGTCTTTGTATTGCTTTCTTTGTGTGAAAGTTACCTCACTCGGCCTGACAGTACACAGTGGTCAGATTTCTAGCTGTGTTGGGAACTCAGCCTGCTCTCATCCAGTGATTAGATTTCTGCTTACACGCCCCCCTCCCCCCTGCACAGCTATTCCCTGTGAAGTTCATTGTGCTACGGTTTCTCCTCCCGCAGCTCTCTAAGCTTCTTATGCAGCAGAGAACAGAGGGTATGTGATCACTTATATGAAAGGGGGAAAAATGTTATTTCTAAAGGTTTTTTATATGTACACACAAATGTTTCATTTTTCATTTATATTTTAAACTGAATATGTTGTTTTAGAAGGTTAGGGTTCACATATACTTTAAATCTCTAACAAGCCTTCCTACAGTTCATATAGGCTCAAAAACTCCCAATACCTTAACATTCTGTCTTTTGCAATTACATTAGAACAGCAATGGGCAAACTACGGCCCGGCGGACCTTTTAATCCGGCCCGCGGAGCTAGGCTCCCGCTAGGCTCCTCTCACAGTCCGCCCTGAAGACCGGTGTAGCATGAAAATCTGTCTCCTATGAGGATCTGTCCCCCTCGACGTATCTGCGCATGTGCCGGAGATCGCCGATCGGCTGCTAATGCCGGAAACTGGCACATGCGCAGATACGTCGAGGGGGACAGATCCTCATAGGAGACAGATTTTCATTCTACACCGGAATGGCGCGAGAACACGGCGAGAGGAACGCGCGGAGCAAAGGTAAGTGAATTGACACAGGGGGGACTTACTATAGGGGGATGAATTAATATGGGGAATGAATTACTATAGGGGGGATGAATTACTATATGGGGGATGAATTACTATATGGGGATGAATTACTATGGGGGATGAATTACTATATGGGGGATGAATTACTGTGGGGGATGAATTACTGTGGGGGATGAATTACTATATGGGGGATGAATTACTATATGGGGGATGAATTACTATGGGGGATGAATTACTATATGGGGGATGAATTACTATATGGGGGATGAATTACTATATTTGGGATGAATTACTATGGGGGATGAATTACTATATGGGGGATGAATTACTATGGGCGGTGAATTACTATATGGGGGATGAATTACTATATGGGGATAAATTACTATATGGGGGATTAATTACTATGCTTACTATGATGGAATATTACTATACTTACTATGATGACACATACACATCATTCATCTACTCTTGGTCCGGCCCCCGTGTCCAATATATGAACCCATTGCGACCCTCAAGTCAAAATGTTTGCCCACCCCTGCATTAGAACCATGGTGGCATAGTATCATCAGACATCTGTCAGTACCAAGCAGCCTGCCATATGACTGAAGCAATAGACTGGTGCCAACCTGGCCCTGGGAAACATTGGGTCATCATTGAACAATAACTGGGATGATTACCGGCATCTTTTTTTCAACCTTACCTTGGTGTTTCCATGGTAAAAGCCTTCCTCTCTGTTGCCATTTTAGGAAACCCAGCGTTTGCTCTAGGGTTAATTGTTAATCAACAATGACCCTCTTTGGAACAAATTCCAACCAACTACAGACTGGTAAGTTTGGAATTCTGGCAGACTTTCCAACACTCTCACTTTCTCAGTAACTTTCTCAAAGCACAAGAATTTCTCATTGCATTTGAAAATGAATCCGTACAAAAAGAATCGCTTATACGCACAGAGGGGAATGTACAAAGAATGAGAGACACAGTCTTGGATCCACGCACCTGCTTTTGTTTGCATGTCAAACTTTGACATGCATTTGTGTCCATGCAGCCACTTCATGTGCATCCACTTCTATGGGCTGCCTGCACGCAGCTCTGAGGTAGATGCACACGCATCTGCCAGTTGCTGTGCACAAAGGAAGGGCTTAATTGCCTCTAATGAGCTCTTAAACTACAGTTTTCATTTGCCTTTTTTTTTTTTTTTTTAAATAGCAAAGGAAGAGTCTGTTCTTCTATCAGTCTTAGGGATTTTCTTTTTATTATGTAAATGCAGGTCAAACAGTTATCAACTTGCTTTTGGTGTGTGCGTGTACATTCACATATACATATATACAGTGTACTTCCAATTATACAAATACCCCATAATTCTTACCCGGGGGTACAGAATGACACAAATTCCTCACCATATGTTCATAACTTCCTCCAACGCTTGCTGAAAATGTGGTCAAGCCAACGGAGACATACTTTACATCTTCTGGTTGTGTGACATTTCTAAACCATTCTGGAATTAAGTCTTACCATGTCACCCAGACATTTACTGACTTCATGATTCCTCTGGTCTGATTTTCTTCTCATTCTATACAACTCCATTACAAGGAAAACCTACAAACAAATCTTTCCTCCCTCACATGATCATTTTTGCCAGAAGCTGCATACCTGAACTATGGAAGCAGTTTTCTCCTTTGATCTCACTATGGTTGGGCAAAATTAATTAAATATGTTGAATGGAAGACCTTGTTTTTTCTCACAAGGGAACACAAAAAAATCCTGGAGAACCTGGTTCTACTGGATCAACTTTCCATCTGCCTCCAAGTGTGAAGCTCTTTTGTGGCACTTCACGACCTTCATAATGCTCTCTAACCTGCTTGAATGCAGCATGCATGTGGTTGTCAGGGGATGGAGATGAGAGACTCTTAGGTACTCACCTCTCTTAATCTCTAGGCCCTACAAAATTCCCACCCATCATGTTGTTTTACACCACCTTCACAGGGCCTTTCCCAATTCTACTCCCTCTGCTCCCTCTCCTTTCTGCCCAATCTGGAACTCTTTTCCTCTAACCACACACCCCCACCCCCCCTCTGCTACCTTGTTCATTATGTGGACATTCATATACAAGAATGTGATTCCCTTCTATGTGCAGCCTTCACACTTGCAACTGGTTGTCTTCTGCAAGAATATCTCACAAGTATTGGATGTATCATGCCCAATTTCCAGCCAGATTGTCTTCGTGTCAGTCTTTTGACAGCCTTATTTTCCTAAACCACCTGATTTACCTGAACACTGTGTTGCTTGGGCAACCTATATGTATACCATCACAGCCCGTGTATATGTGCCTTTTATATATAAAAAAATATATATATATATATATATATATATGTGTGTGAACTATTGTTACTATTTGAACAGAGGCATCAGCTGCAGAATTTTTTGGTCAGAAGTTTATGAAAACCATATAAAGGACCAGGGAGGTGTTTGAGGCTTTTTGCATTTTTTTGTATTGTTTATTTTTGATTCATGCATACACATTCTTCTAAGAAGGGGAGGTTTGTTGTAAATCAGAATACTATATATAAGAGCTCCTCCCGTATTAGAGTACAACATGTTCTATTTCCTGCTGCCTCCCCCTGATCCCCATCCCCCTGCAGTGTGACAGCTGACTGGGGTTCTTCTCCCCACACCTGCTGTCACAATTCAAAAACAGTGGTGCTGCCATATGGGGCTCCGGGAGTGCCGTCATCCACCACAACAGACATCTTATAGTCCTGGATGAAATGCAAGGGTACTGATGAGCGCCCTTGTAGTACATTCACAGATCTTGTAGCTTTCAAACTGACAGCCTGCATGGAGGTATGGGCTGAAAGCTGCAGGGCTTTTCTTCAGAAGCCTGACATTGCACCCCCGATGCACTGATCACAGGTGCTATGCTTTCTAGGCTCCTGTAGGGAAAGAAAATAAATGCATATTTGTTTCTGCAAAAAATATATGCATTTATTATTTTTTCTAAAAAGGTGAACTTCTCCTTTTAAAAAGTGCATCAATAGCTTGTAATTCCCAATAAACTCATGCAAACTCCTCCCATTCTCCATTCAATCTGATTGGACCAAAATATGCATTGCTGGTACATATTCCTCAAAAGTCAGAACCAATAAAGCTGGCTTACAATTATGAATGAGCACCCAAAAAAGAGAAAAGAAAACTTCTATAGAGTAGTAACATTACTGTTAAGGCAGAAGGATTTATTTATTAATTATTACAGGTACTTGTATAGCTCTGTCAATTTACGCCGCGCTTTACATATATATTGTACAATCACATCAGTCCCTAACCCTCAAGAGGTGTACAATCTAAAGTCCCTAACTTATATTTATACATACACATACTAGAGCCAATTTAGACAGGAGCCAATTAACCCATCGTGTCTTTGGAGTGTGGGAGGAAACTGGAGTAAAGTAACCAGAGGAATCCCATGCAGGCACAGGGAGAACATGCAAACTCAAGGCAGGTGATGCCATGGTTGGGATTTGAACCAATGACCCTAGTCCTGCCAGGTGGAAGTGCTAACCATTTAGCCACTGTCCTGATCTAAAACAGTGGTCTCTAAACTGTGGCCCTTTCCTTGCCTTGATCTAGCCCTTTTGGGCACTATTTCTCCCACTGATACAAGGCATTATTCCTCCTACTGACAATAACAATGAGACATTCTTCTTTCAACTTACACCAATGATGGGGCACTATTCCTTCTACTGATACCAATGATGATGCATTATTCCTCAAACTGACA